AGATACTCAAACAATATGTTGAGTACAACGCCCTGGATCATCGTAAGGACCTTTTAGGCCTTAAGCAAGCCCTTACCCTATACCCGGGCTTCCAAAAGCATCTGGAGACTGCGCCCACGCGCCAACCCGAATTATTTAAGCGTTTCTCTCAGAGTCTTGGATGCGCATGGCAGCCGTAAAAAAACCCCTAAACCCCTAAACCCTGAACCCCAATAGAAACTGTAGTGGACCGAGTTTCTGATCCCGATGTTAGTAACTCCGCGCAGGATCTTCCAGACTGACCGGAAAGTGCACGTCTCTGTGGGCATCGACTCACAGGATGCTGCTGGACAAAACAAGGCGCCCTTCTTAGGGGGTTTAGGGATCTTAGGGGTTTTGGGTCTTTGGGGGTTTCGGGGTTTAGGGGTTTTGGGGGTTCAGGGATTTAGGATGTAAGGGTTTCGGGATTTAGGGGTTCAGGGTTTAGGGTTTCGGGGTTTTTGCTAGGGGTTTAGGGGTTCAGGGTATAGGCTCGAAGATTCAGGGGTTACATGGCCTAGGCTTAGGATTTCAGGGTTTGGGGTTGCAGGGCTTTACGTTTGAAGGGTGTGTAAGTGTAAGGGTTTTGGCGATGTGAAGATCTTAAATTTTTGGGTGGCGCTGGGGCATTTGCTGGCGCAGGTGACCTATGCGGGGGACTTGATGATGAAGTACTGCAAGGACCAGACATGCTGCGTCGTTGTTTGGCCAGGTGATTGGAAAGCAGCCAAAGGCTTCTTTGGGCTGAGCAGAGTTCTATTTGCTCAGGCTAAGGGCTTTCATGGCTCATGCATCTGAATTTGGCGGGTTGCTCATGCTGAAGCCGTGTGGAAAGTCACGAAGACTGTCATGATAAGGAGCTCTGACGACATGTGTACCTTCTGAAGCACCTGCTATACTGCAGCACTGGCTCTGTTGACTACTGCTCTTTAAACGGCTACATCATGCTGTGGGTCTTAATACGGCAGCCAGATGTTCTACAAAGGCAACTGAGCCTTAAACGGGTAAATCGGTAATCTTCCCACTGGTCCGTCCTAACTTGACGTGGCTCAGATTTCTCGATCTTCGAGCAGTGCCCAGCTACAGGAGCACTATCCCGGAACAATCCCTGAGATGTACATTGAAGGCTCCTTGCTTGATTTCGACAACATCATGGGCATTAGTATGCATTAGTCGATTGGAGATGATTGGGGTTTGACGTTGGATTTGGTAGGGAGTGCTGCAAACCTTTCTTGCTAGCCGCGGACCGCGTGGCACGTTTCTGCGCGGCATCGGGGTTTCTAAACAGTCATGAGTCGTGAAATCTCCTTGCTCCGTTCGCCCAGGCGGCTTCAATGCGGGAAAGCCACTCGCCTTCTATTAAATTCGTGCAGCAATGCAGCGCGCACTGTTGCCCAGAGTCGAAGACGCAGACGACATCAGGTTGCAACCGCTTCAGGTAAGCATTTACAGTGGTAATAAGGCAGCAGTACAGCCACAGACCCAGCAGTGGTTTTGCCGGCGAGAGCAATGCAGACTCCTTCTCGTGGGGATGAGGCGCGTCTCCGTCATGCACACGCTACTTGGCAAGGGCCACTCTCTTGTGGCGGACTGTATCATTCCAAAGGACAGGAGTGCACTGACGGGCTGCAGTGCTTGAAGTCACTTCACTGAATGTCTTGCAGCATGCGCCCATGCCAGTCCGATGCTGCAGAGATGCACTGGATGAAATGACTTCTGCCCTGCAGGAAGTGTGCCAGTCAGTTCTGAGAACTACACCTTACAGGCATGAGTTGAACTAGTGTTGGGCTGCGTGATGAGACTGTCTCTCCATGTTTCTGACGCCAACCTCCAGCATGCATGGTGCTCGATGCAGAAGAAGCGTGTCCTTCGCCACAAATATACTCATGTTGGGCTTGCTTCAGCAAGTGGGGTCCCAATCACAAAACGAGCATGGGTGGTGGCGGTGTTCGGTACGACATTCTGTCTTTCCTTGTCATCTGACAACAACAAGCCATTGTGGGGCCCGGCGTCCTCTGCTTCCTCTGCTTTACACCTTTGCTGGAGCGACTGACCACTCTTGCCCTTGGCAGACTGGTCTTCACCCCCTTGCACGCGAGGACTCTTATTCTGCCACTAGGACTCCTGTACCATCACCACTTCTATACCTGCTTCTACTACCACTGCTGCTTCTTTCTTTGCACTGCACTTGTACTTCCTTCTGTGTCATTGCACAGCAGCAAATATTCCTCAAGGCACTCCAGCCGGGCCTTGCTTTGCATGACATGAAGATGACTACCATCCTTCCTTCCGAAACAGCTTCGCCAATGCAGTTTTGAGGTTTGACAAAGACTGGTGCCATGTTCGCAGATGTTGGCAGGTTGCAGCGCTTCCAGAAGATGCACAACAGGACGAACGAGTTCATGGGTGGCATCAGTTGAGCCTTGTCTTCGCAAGCTGCGCCGTACCAGCTGCTGACACACCCTGATGCGGCTCCTACGTCTTCATTCCTATTTGCGAGGCACAGCCCACGTGGCCAATGGCTTGGCAGCATTCTACATTGCCACCGGCAACGACCCGGCGTGCACGGTTGGCCGGATGCAAGTTCCGAGCAGGGTAAGCTAAGCACGAATCATTGGAATGATGCAACTGAGGCCGAGTCTCAAGCTGCAGTGACTCACTTTGATCTTGTCAACCCTTCCGGAGGCCCGTGACGGTGTGACATGACTCCCACGTGACCACCTGCCGGTGGGGAGAACGCGGGTTTTCATGCCAAGCACTCGATTCAAAGCGCAGGATCCACCAGCCACCTCGACCAGGACTTGTACGCAAGCATTACGCTAAATTCCATCATTGCTATTTGGATGCACTGAGCGCATGGAGGTTGAGCCTGGAAAAGCGAGTGTGTGTCCTTGGCCTTTGCGTCAACAGCTTGTCTCGTGAGTTCTGGCTGGGTCGCGACTGAGGCAAATTTCCAGTGGTAGAATCTCGAATCCCTCAACTCCTAAACTCTAGAGTATCCCCCTGGGAATAGCATATTTAAGACATGAATCAAGCGAACCTGCAGCTTCACTTGGAGAGGAAGGCTACAGGATGAAACAGCGTCCAAGAGGAAGTTCAATCCCTCGATCCAGCGGATAAAGTGCACAGGGCTCTATATTTTCGTACGCTGATGGTACTCAGGATGCTCTTGGGCATCTCTCCGTCAGGGTATTGGGCTAGATTGGGTATCGTTTTCGAGATTGACTCTGCTTCATTCGGGAGGACACTGTTAATCTAGACTCGGGTCTGAATGGTTCTGACTGAGGGTGATTGAGGCTCAGAAGCACTGGTTGATGCTGTTCCGCGGTCACCTGTTCGCTGTTTCTGTAGCACTCACTGACTTCGCAGATATTATCAAAAACCCAAACCTTGCACCCAAAACCCTCAAATCTGTGGGCAAGTGTAGGTCTGGCGTACTGCAAGCTGAGGTCGCGAGCGTTGGAGGCGGAACCTCCCTGCCATCCTTCAAGGCAGCATCGGCAGAATCTGCTAAACCATAGGAATAATAATGGTAGCTACAATATGTAGTAGTAGTAGTAGTAGTAGTAGTAGTAGTAGTAGCCGTAGCAGTAGTAGTAGTAGTAGTAGTAGTAGTAGTAGCAGTAGCAGTAGTAGTAGTAGTAGTAGTAGTAGTAGTAGTAGTAGTAGTAGTAGTAGTGGTACCAATATCAATAATAGTAGCAATAATAGCATAGAAATAACAATCAGTAATAACAGTTTTAAATAATACTAACAACAATAAGGATGATGATGTTGAGAATAGTCATGATCATAATCACCATCATAATTGTCATAAAGGATAGTAGGAAACATAAAGTCATAATGGTCATCAGGGTCATCATTGTAGTAATAAAGTAATAGTAATAACAACAAAAAGTAAAGACAGTAGTAATCAACGCAAACAGCTCGAGAATCTGGAAGCTACCTGAGTTCCAGGCCGCCCGATCCATGATGGGAGTGGAAACTGCCAACGAGCTTGCAGAGATTTGTGCAGGTGGGGCGGCAGGAATGTGGGGAGTGGGCTGTCTAACATGGGCTTGTGTCTTGTCTGCTTTTGTCTGTAAGTGCAGCATGTGCTTGAGATCCCACCGGAACTAGCCAGGTGTTGCCCTCTCCGGTGAGCTCAGCTTTTATGCCTCCATGGAGACAGGCAGTTTGGGAGATCCGCTGGGCCCTCCTCCTGTATTGTATCCCTGCCTCAGGCTCGTTTGCAGACGCGCATTGGAACATGACGCACAAGTGATGAGGAAATCCCCTTGACCTGGGTTTCACCATGAAGCCACATGCAGATTTTCTGAGACGTACACCATGCTCCCTATACTTAAGAGTGCACATCCTTCAGGTCATAGATGCCGCGATTGCTCGGCTAGCCTCCTCGTTTTGGGTGGGCTTGGATGAGCAATTCAACAGGTAGGAGCAAGCAGCATATTTTGTTTCATGCCTGACTATGCTGAAAGCACGAACTTTCTGGCAGAAAGGGCACCATTTTGAATTCGTGGGTGCACATCGGCGAGATTGTACCACAATGGGCATGGCCTATGCGCATGGGTGAAGAGCAGTTGCACGGATGCCGAGCTGCACCCGGACGATTTGAAGCCTAGCGCAAGGGAGTGCGCTGGGTAGGTGTCGTCTTTTGTCAAGTTTGATCATAAACTCGCTGCGGCTCTGTCATGACTTTGCCAAGACCCGAGATCCTTGTGAGGCGTGAGGGAGGCAGGGGCATGCAGCTGAAGTTTGTATAGACTACAGTCTCCACGTTTCTGTTCTGTCCTCCAAAGGAAAGTCGAGCTACGAACTTGACTCGGCTAGGCTTTGGAGGATCTGGCGTGACAGCCATCTAGTGACGAGCTAGTATATTGATTCACAGATCAGCAGAGACTGCGCTAAGAGCTGCTGGACATGACAAAAGTGCGGTCGTGACATGACATGTTGTTGAGTCTTCTTGACTGACATGCTGTCTCATTGTCATTGCAAGCTGTCCAGCCTGGCATAAGCCAAAGTCATCTGTCATGGAGTGAGCACCGGCAGTGGAGACGCATCAAGTTCAATGCATGAAGCTGTCCAGGAGCGCGGAACCCGTCTGCGCCCTGCACCTTGGAGTGGCGCAGCCGAGCATCGAAGGCACCAAATCGTGCCGTACCTCGAGTCGCGCAGCGCTCTCAGCATCCCCGTTCTCTCCTTTCACCTCGTGTCTCTGAAGTGCCAATACGCCGTGCCCTCGGCACCTCTTCCACCAATTGCATTCACTATGACATGACCTTTCCGATCTGGGGGCTCGCTCGTGAGGCTTTGCTTGCTGGGTGTGCCTCGGTTCTTTGATGATACAGCACAGCTGCTGAGGCAAGCGTGAATGAGCAGGCAAAGGCATATGAACGCTCACTGCCTTAATGGGCTCATTGGGGATGCAGGCGGAATCTCCTCGACCGCGTGGGGCGGCCTCCGCCTCGGTCTTGAGAGAGCCTGACGGGCTACAGCTTTCCTCGTAATAGCCGAGTAACGATGCAGAGTTACAGCGAGATGCCACAAGGTACATGAGGAGACGGAAAGCTTTGTTTTCTCCCGAGGCCTGCCGACCTCTTCACCTTCGTGACTGCCTCGCGGCGACCTGCGGCACCAGATTGCCAGAGCCTCGCGGGCACCTTAGAGCCTTATCTGTGCGGCGTTTTGGGCCTCCCCACAGGCCCGCAGCCACATCGCCTGGTTGAAACGGTTCCGGGCGATGGCCGCTGCCCCGACAGAGAAGTGCCGCTCCCTCCGCTACCTCCACTCTAGGCGGCCTCGCGGCCTCAGCCATCAGGTCGGCTCAGCGAGGAGCTGCGACGTGTGGCGCCCTCCAGCGAGGCATCGACCGCTACTGTACGTCCGTCCCAACGTGACCGATGGGCAAGGAGCTTGAAGGCTTGAAGTCGAACGTCAGGAGGGCCAGGGCCAGAACTTCGAGCCTGGACGCTTTGCCGGCGACGGCGCGTCGCTGCCTGGACCCTTCTCACATCGCATGTCGACGTGCGGGCTGCCATGCTGTGACTTTGTGAGACTGTGAGGCTGACGGCATCAGAATGGCAAGAGCTGGAGGTGCTTCTCCAGGACGCCGTCGCGGGGCAGGCGAGCAGCCTCCAACCTCCGCGAGAAGGGCTTACTATGTCTGATGCACACTGGTTTGGTCTGCGAGGTGGCCTGGGGCGATCGACCAATGGAGTTGCTGAGCAAGGCTTCCGCACTTCACGAGACCGCTTCCGATGCCACTATAACATCAGGGTACCAAGACACGCCGCCTCATGCAGGCTTCCACCGTGCAAACTGACAGCAGCAGGAATCCTGCTACATTGATATATTGACACATGTTGAAGCGTAGATACTCCTCTCTGCAACATCTGTATCCTCTCTTCATACACGGGACGTCGACCTGGACGGAGTGAAGGAGCAGCACACGTCTAGAGCCCCTATGGAACCCTTAGTACCCCACAGAACTCTTCTTGAACCCCTCCTTCTTAGAACCCCTAGAGAAGCCCCTCTAGTAACCTTAGCCATCCTTGCAATTCCTAAACCCCTCCGATCGAATTTCAGCACCCGGCGGCGGCCTGGCGCCGGGTGGCGGCGCGGCCGGGGCCGTGGCTCGGGGGTCTGGCGCAGAGGCGCCGGGCCCAGGGCTGAGACGAAGCTGGGCCCTTTAAGGGTTTTGGGGCGGGGTTTAGGGCTTTAGGGTTTTAGGGGGTTTTAGGTTTTAGGGGTTTAGGGTTTTAGGGTTTTTAGGGTTTGTACTATTTAATCTTACTATAGGGCACTATAATAGGGCCCCCTGTAAGGTGACCAAAAGGTTCCATAATAGGGTACTCTTTAAGGCTAAGGTATTAGGGTGTAGGCTGTAAGGAGATGTATCCAAGGTTTGGGGTCTAGGGCTGGAAGGGACGTGTAGGGACTTGGGCTTCGGGTTTGTTGGGCTTTGAACTTTATTAGGGTCTGCGAGTTCATGCGATTTGTTGCAAGGCTTTTCCAAGGGGTAGGAGTGTATGGCATTAAGGTTTGGATTTCGTGCTTTACCGTTTTTATCTGTTTTTGGAACGTGGATTTAGGGTTCAGGGGTTTGGCCCACAAGGGTCTAGGGTTAGATTGAGCGCAACTTGGGCTTTTAGGACTGACTCCCTGATGGAACTAATCAATCGCTTGGTCCGCTGGTCATTCATGTCTGTTCGTGTCGTTGCTTGGCAGCTGCATAATGTATGTGTTTGTTGGTCCAGGCCTGATGTCGGCCATGACGATATCACAGGTTCTTCGCCGACTGCGCGGTCAGTACCTGAGCACAACCTTCCTTGCAATTCTTAATTTCGGGTGCTAACACTTCGTCAGCACACCAACGTTGACATAAATGCAGTTGACAGGCCCATGCTGGTTGGTAGCCTGTGCTCGTCATGCCCGAAGGACCTCAGACGATTCCAGGAAGGCGCGGAGCTCTGGCATCCGCTTCACGGACGGCAGCTCAGGCACCGTCTCCGGAGTGCTTGCGGCTTCTCAGGTGCCTAACGTGCATGTTATAGCTGAGAGCGTCGGAGGACACCAGGTACGCCCAAGCGCCGGACTGTCCCAGCTGCGTACCCTCCAGCCTGGGTCTCGGGTCTCGCGGAGGTTGTCGCTGAAGTAATGTGATGCAGCCATGTGTTGCGGTGTAGTGGTTCTTGTCATGTTCCTGTGTCCGCTCCACAGATGCACCTTTTCATGGCACCAGCACTCTCAGTCGTTTCTGAATCTGACGACCCGCCAGGTGGTGTGCGGATGCTGTCAAGTGGCATGAAAACAATTTTCTCAACTTTTCGTGCGCCTTCCACCGGACTAGCGCCAATGTTGCAGACGAGACGCGGATGTTGAGCGAGTCGAGATCGCTTTGGATTGAGTTGTGATCGTCACGATTGAGGGTGTGAGTTTTGATTAACGCACGCCCTTCATGTGAGGTTGAAAGATGCGACGCACGAGATACCGACCGACCAACTATACAAACAACTAGCTAACAAAGCAGCCAACTAAGTAATAAGTATGTGGCTGACTGACTAAGTAACTAGCTGCCTAACAAGCTACTTACAAAACTACGTAACCAAACGCACCGAATCTAACTAACTAAGCCAGCTAAACTAGACTTGAACCAGCTGCTGAACTTACTAGACAGCTGGCTCAGCTAGCCGTGGGTCTTTCAATCCATCAGCTGCTGCTTGCTTGAGGTGAGACCTGGACATTGTCCAGAATGTAAAGAACCACAGGACCCTACACCCCCAAACCCTGAAGGTACTCCCACGTTCTTTTCGCCCGCTGGGACCTGCACTGGCTGATTCCTTTTCCTGGCCTCGAGCTGCTGCAGGCTTCGGATTCGGGGCCTTCATAACCATAACAACAGGAAATCACTGTAGCGGAATAACAACCTTAAGCTCTTCGGTTTTCGGGTTTTGGATCTCCAAGCCCTGATAGTGAGCATGTGTATCAGGTAAGCACAGGCACGTGACTGTCGTTTCCTGGCAGGAGATTGACTCGGAGGCCATATGGCTGCCGAAGGTGCGCATGGACAGCAATACTCTTCACATAATGTGACTAATGATAATAACAGGCAGGAATAGTAGCAATATGAAAAAGCAACAGTAATATTAATGGCAATAGTAGCCATAACAATAACCAGACCAATAAGCACCTTGTAAAACGTCCGGGTAAGTGTACTTTGGCAACTTCTGCTACGTGCTGGAATTAGCAGAGAGGGGCCAGGGCTTCGGGTCAGCTGCCCGGCCGTGAGGTACAGGGCGAGTTCTTTGCTAATGATCGCTTTGCAGTCGTACCAAGGCCAAGGCCCGCCTGAATTGGGATGTGCAGAGAGAAGCATGGAATGAGCGCATTCTCTCGTAGCCGCTCCGCCTTGCCGTTCTTTCCCTCTGATCTTTGGGCTGTTAACAACGGCTTGCGTTTGCTTGATGCTGCAGGCTGGCAGTCTACTTTGAAGGTTGGAAGCACGTGCCTCAGTCCGGCACAGATGCGCTGGGTTTTTCGAGATGCAGCTCCTTGCAGTTCTCTCACGAACATGCGGCAGCATGCAGCCGTTGAGAGAAAGCTGACGAGGCTCTTGGTCTCTGGTGACGCAGAGGATGCTTTGAAGAAGCATATGCCCCGAGAAGTGGACTCAGATTCTAACCTCTACACCCGCCAGGGACGTTTCAGCCAGAAGTCTTCAGGTGGGCACTCCTTTTTTCCTGCAAGACCTCCTGGTCTACGAGGCCTGTGTAGTTGGAGCACATGCTCATAATAACAAGGATGATAGTAACAATAGCAGTTCATACTAACAACAGTAATAGTGCTACTAGCCCCCAAATCCGCCTCAGGGCTTCCTGCACCTACGCCTGGTCTACGCTGGGGCGCGCCTGCTCTTCAGAGCATTTTGCTGGTTGCGCAGCAGGAGTTGGATCAAAGTCACGTAGGCTCAAGTGACTTTATCGCCGTTCTGCGTGAGGAATGTGACTTTCGTAGTGTCTCATCAATGTTGGGCGTTCTGCGGCCCAGATACTATGGCCCTTCCTCCACTCTTCTATGTGTACTGCCGTCCATCGTCGGATTCCAGGCCGGCACACCGTTTGCAACTGCTCGATCAGGCTTAACTGGCCTCGGGTTATGGCAAATTGGGTTGGGTGTGTAAATGCAGGAAAGTCTCATCTATGGATACTTATTTGTTTGTGGATTTGCTTGCCCGTATGTGCATATTGTCTTATACAGTTCATATGTACTATGTATCGATATAAATGTAAATGCAGATACATGTCTACATATATATATATATATATATCTACTATCATTTGAAATATCCGATCATTTTTATATACTTCCTTTTGCTTTTCTCTGGGTTTAGGGGTTTAGGGTCTAGGGTTTATTAGGGTTTTCAACACGCGAACGAACAGGCACATCTTCATAGGCTTGTACTTTAAACACCTTTACACATACATGGGTAGTTGTCAAAATTGTGGTCCCTTTTGGGGTACCCTAAATAATAGGTGCCGTATTATAATAAGGACCCAAAAAGGGACCACCACCCATATATATATATATATATATATATGCATATACATAATTGCATAGAGATACGGAGTTGTTACTCGACTGCGCAAGGACGTTTCGGAGCCTGGGCTTCTTCGACTGCTCGCCTCTGGCAGCCATGGCAGACGTGACGGTGCCTGCCTGGGCAACGCTACTGTAACAGATATCGGTGATGTTGTTATGTTTGTAGGTTTCGCTATCATGTCATGTTTCTTTACTACGCAAAGCAATGCAGTTTACAGGCACAACAGCAAAAGATAGTATTTGGCTGTGTCCAATGATACGAGAAGCCTTCGAAAGGGTTCGTGTGTGCGCACGTACAGACAGCTAGCTAGCCAGCCAGCTAGCCAGCTGGGAGGTAGGTAGATAGGCAGGCAGATGGTAGGCAATCATGTATATTTGCGCATATGTTTGTATAATACATATACATACACATACATATTGTCACACACACTTGTTTGTCTACAAAGATTCTTCGAAGTGCATTTTTGAGTGTGTGCCATCAATTGGCTTGGCGGGGACGGAAGGTAATGGCATGTCTTCAGCTGTTCGGAGATGTCTCGCCTGAGCTCGCCTCGCCCGTAACCCTAAACAGGGAGATAGAGAAAGACTATAAGCCCTAAACACTTAAAGTCTAAATCCTGAACCTTTGTAGATCCCTGTAGCGGAATGCTTGGATTTTGCACATGACGAGGCCAAGGGCGGCGGCGACGAAGCCTCTGAGGTTCCGTGATGCGAAGATACGACATCTTCGACCCAACTCAGAGTGTGAGTGTCGCATCGCCTGAATGCATCGTAAATGGACAATTGGAATAGGGTTTTTGTTCGGAACAGAATGGTACACCTATACAGCTACTAATAGGGGCATGTCATGCCCCAACACAATGAAGACATGAGGGGTCTTGCCTTGCGAGGCAGTTGAAACTGCACTTGGCGGCGCCAAGTACAGCAACGAGGTCACTTGGGCTCGCGCCCTACCAATACAGCTTTTTGGACAGGGCAGCACTGATGAACGTCTGGAAGGTACACGGGTCAGATCGCTTGCAAATGTACTGTCTGCTTGTACTAGTTGACAAGGCCATAAGGCCTTATGTGACAGCCGAGCTTAGCCGCAAGGAATTCCTCATTTGGCAGGAAGGCTGTGTGGTCGCGTAGCATCTGAATCAAAAGAATCACCGCCTTGATGTGCAGCCCTTGCGAGCCAACTGCACAGTTTCGCTCTTAGTGGTTGCGTGGGTTGCTTCCGGCTCTGTGTGTCAGAAGCATGAGCCCGCAGTGAGCCTAGAGCTCCAGGTGATTAGCACGGACTCCGCGCTCAGAGGCTTTGAGCAAGGAGAGTCCAGGGTCGAAGAAGGCAAGCGGGAATGCAGCTGCGTGTCGCGTTCCTATGACAGCTGCTGGCTACTGTGCTCCTGGGACAGACTATGCCTGAAACGGGAGGTAGTGTATCACGCGCTGCCGTACACGATTTGTCGCATTAGCGTTCGCTGTGCAAGCTCATTCTGCTGTCCACCTATAGCTCCCTTCTGCATACCGAACGCGTATCTCGGCACAGCTGCTCGAACGGTCGGTGCACTTGAGAAGCGACAGACAGAGAGTCCCATGGAGGGTCCGAGCAACTCATGCGGCTGCTACGACCTCGCTTGGATCGCCTTCGTGGCAATCCGGAGGACGCCGAGACCTTTGAAGGGATGTAGGCTTCTCTCATGCATAGTTTAACTCAAGCGTTTCAGCCAGCAATCTTTCAAGCTTTGACTGAGGCAGTTTGCTTTCCGAACATGTTGACATAATTACTGAGAAGAAAGTCTCACAGACGTGCGGCAGAACGTGCTAGGACCAATCAGATCCGGTCACTTGGACAAAGGACACCGCCATGTTTGACGGTAGGAGGCATTGCCCCCAGACACTCCTGAGCACATGCTTGTGGAATAACACGGAGCTCAAGGGAGCTTAGTCGAAGCCAGTGGCTTGAGCCAGGACGATCTTTTCAGTGCAGTGTTCCTGTCCACGCAGATGGAGGCCAGTTGCCTCGATCATCGAAGCGATTGAAAGTTCAGGAAACCTGTGGAGCATCGTGAAACCGCGTGTTCGCCTCTGGAGGTCAGCACAGCCTTGCAAAGGGGGCAATGCCAAAACCTGAATGACTGGAGGCCGCTGGTGCCACATTGACATTTTGGACTTGGAGTTTGCCATAGTTATACTTGTATTATATAGTTACCAGTAGTTGTATGCTATATTGATATACTACAAATCAGTACCCGAACGGCCTAGGCCTAACGCTTCATCGCTTCTCCTGTACAGGAGGATGGGCTACGTTTGCAGCCGCTTCCTCACAGTGATTCTTGAGCTCGCTCCACGCAGGTCTGAATGCCTTGCTTGTGACCTCTGACGTCTTGCATTCTATGAGAGCTGTGCCACCTGCAGACACAGTCCTACGGAGCATTTGCTCGAGAAGTTCGAAGAAGGCTAGGGAGGTTGCAGAGCACTGAGCACGGGCCGAGCTCGCATGGAGCACATCGTTCCATCGAAACATATCGAAACCGAAGCTTAACATATCAATGTGCAATGTTCAAGGCTGTGACAAATCGTGCCACAGTAGTTGCGCCATGCACTGCGGGAGCCAGTCGGTCTGGCGGTAGTGTGGCTCGGCAGTTTCTTGAAGCATACAGCCATGAAGCCCAGCCGCAGTAAAGAGACAAATTTGATGTAGACTTCTGGCAGGTGCTTGAGAAAAGGCTCCCTCGACATGCTTGCTGTTAGCACATTTGCAATTGAAGCCGTTGAAGAAAGCCGACTGAACTGAACCATCGCCATAACCAGACGGCACAACCGAAACGAACACAGCTGTCTTGAGGGGTGGTCATATACTAAGAAAAGACATGCTGCTCTGCCGGGGTCCATCAGGCCATGGACAGTCTTTGCCAGCAGTGGTGCGAAGGTCAAGGATTGGATGAGGCACCTTCAACGAAAGAGGGGCATGGAAATGTTGAGACGTTTGAAAAGACTTTTCAGCTTCGAACGTTTTTGAACGACTTACGACGATACTCTGCTGGGATGGGACGAAGTAATTGTGCGTTTCTGTCTGGCCAAGCATGCCCGAGTGTGATCCCCCCTGGCTCCTGTCATGCAGTGCGTAAGTCATCCGAAAGCTCGGCACTGATGCAAACGGGAATGAGTGTCCCGCAACATACAGCACGACTCAATGAACATGCCGAGTCCGATGGTTCGTTCGACAGCTCCACACAAGATTGTCTTCGCTTCCTGATGCTTAAAGGCCTGCTTTCTGAAGCTGCTCGAACTGGACTATGATGCGTTGCTTGACTGAGCATTTGGGCATGTCCAGTCGCCTGTACTGCACTGTCCGCGATTCGCGAAATGAAGCTCAAACTGAGGAGGCAGACAGTCATGCATGGCTTCCAGCCCAAGCCTGACACAAAGAACCTCTCCGGACTTTTCGCCGCCAGTTTGCAAGGAAGACTGATGAAGATAGTGTCACGAGCCCGATGTCGAGCTGCAGCTGAGATGGGCTACGTGCGCTCCATTCAGCAATCAGGGAGCATGGGCAAGGGCTCAAAGGGCCCAATGCACACGCAGTGGAAGGGCGCGCCAGGCAGCGCGAAGGGCCGAGGCAAAGGCCAAGATGCCATGCCGGCCATGCCAAGCATCGTGGCTTGGCGCATTACGACTGGACAGACTGCGCTGTGAAGATTTGGTCGTGATTGGTCGCTGACGCTTAGGCCCAAAATGCAGCAGCACAGCTGCAGGAGGAGGCCGTCAAGCCACTCGGATCGGCATAGGCGGCTTAGGCATTACTTCTCTGTGCCAGGGACACAAAAATCGACTGAGTGATGGATAAACTTCTGATTGGTCTTATGAGTGACTTTTCGAGGTGCCCTCCAGAGGGTGTGCAAGTTGGACATATCGAGACATCATCATGAGCTTGTCTTGCTAGTGAAGTCTGGAGGCCCCCGAGAGAGGTCTGGAGTCTAGAGGTCCAATCTGTTGTGCTATGGGTTTAGAGTTTAGGGCTCCCATGGAGCCCTCACAATGTACATCCGACCTCATCGTCCACGCGAGCGGTGCCCAGGTTTGCCACAAGTTGGGGCTTGGATGACGAATGTGTCGGGGAGCTACTGGCGCAACCCCCGCAGGTCACCCATGCATCTGCGCAGAGATCACAGGGTGCCTGCTGCCTGCTGGCCACCAGATGCGAGGAGCATGGTCCTGTAGCGACTTTGGCTCTATGCGTCAAACGCGAGCCGCCAGTTTGGTAGCATGCAATGGAGCCAGCTGCTCTGGGCCTCTGCACTATCCCAGAAGGCCTCAGGGAAGCACTCGGTTTGCAGCAAAATCGTGTCGGAACATCGCATCCTCGTAGAATCTCTCGGTGAGCTGCGGCCTCAAACAGAATCGAGGCCGCCAGCGACTGCAGCTTCCGGCGCGTGGATGTTTCGCTCGAAGGCCTCAACTTTCAGGAAGTTCGCGCCCAACGGAGGCGAGAGAGGGAGGGTTTTCAAGCGTAGATCTTGCACAAGAAGCCCGTGGCCTCTTGTACATAGATTTGCAACTCCAGGCTTCGAAGCTTCAGATGCCCTACTGCACTCCAGGTTATCGGGTCGTGGGTAAGTTTGGATGCTGGTGAGCGGGGTGTCTTCTGAAGCGAATTGCTTTGTTCGTGGCGAATTCCAAAACATCCTAAGCCATTCCGAAGCCTGAGCGTGGCCAAAGCAAGCTGTTTTTTGAGCCTTGCTTTCGTAGCACGTCCATCCGTCTGATAGCTGAAGATGCTCGGTTGTGTGCCCGTGCCACAGCCTGACAACGCATTGTCTGTTACCTACACAAGTCTCTTAGAGCTTGCTGCCGTTTTGCGAGTCATACCGTGGAGCTGCACGAAGCCACGCTACTGCGCATGCCCGCACAGGCCTCTGATCCTTCACTCCATTCCAGATGTTTCCTGGCCGCAGCAGAGGAAGAGTTCAGTCAGTTGGATGGGCAGACGCAGATTGCTTCATGAGAGACCACCTGTGTGGAGATGGGCTGTGGCTTGCCAGGTTTCCGGTGTGCTGGCCCATACGGATCAGGAGAGTTTCATGCGCTGCGTTTCTCGTCTTCCAATGCCGACTGCCTTGCTCACAGACCCTCAGCCGTCAGGAGACCATGTTGAGAAGCTTTGGGCACATGCGCATGCAGCTGGAGACCGGCATTGACGAAAGTGCAGCCAATTTTCGTCTCACGAAGGACAGCTGCACCTGCAACAGATCAGATGTGCGAGCGCAGCAGCACAGGCACGGCTGCTTGAAGGAGTGGCGATCGCTAGACCGCTATGTCCACCAGCCAACAGGCCGAGCCTGAGTTCAGCTGGACGTTTCCTAGACCGTCGAGTCTCTTGAAGGTGGACAGGAGCTTGCATTCGAGCACGGCTTCACTGGAAGCTTGAGTCGATCGGTTTGGAGCTCCAGATTTCCGGCCCTGCCTAGCTTGCTGAAAGAGGTCCTCGCATTTCCAATCTTTACGCTGGGTATCAACGGCACAGGTACCAGTATCTCGGGTCTCTTTAAGCAGCCTAGCTGTTTTGAGTTAGTACATTGTGGACTGCATGCCACTATGCATCCTTGTAATATTGTATCTTGATTCAAAGTTATCAACAAGAGCCCAGGTATGCACAAACATGAGGAGACCTGGCTTCTCTTGCTGAGTGGGCGCAAAGCTTGGTGGATCAGTGAGAAGCCTGCTGCAAACGTCCCTGCGACGTTCGCGCGGAGGAATCCGTGTCAACACATGGACTCAAGCACTCCTCCGGGGTATCAGTTCTGCATCCAGCAACCTGGGGAGGTGGTGCGCCTCGTCTCATTTCGGTCCTTGCTCCCCACCTGCTCTGGAATTTCGAAATTCAATTTGCGTGTATCTGCACGCGTGTTCGAGGTATTTCCCGGACGATGCCTTCCATGCCACCTGCAATATTGACAGCTTCGTGTGGGGTTTGGGGTCACAGGGCAGCAACGCAGACTGGCCGCCTCTTGTGACTTCACTGAACCAAGCCGCATTCACGCAGAGCATGAAGCACATGCACGTGAGTCTGTTTTTCGTGCCACGTCTTCCATCACCATGCTCAGGTGATGGCTGCTAGCCTCGGGGATGCGCAGGCCGTGACGACCATGCTCAAGAGAGGAGAGGACACTCGGCAAGACGTCCTCATGTACTCTTGAGCACTCATACGAGCCTTTGCTTGCAAGGGGCGCCCGACACGCGCGTCCTTTGCAGCTGCCTTGCAGCGTTCCCTGGGGCTTCAGCAGCCGACAGCGCAGAGGCTTGCACCGCGAGCTTGAATCCGAATCCTCGGCCAAAATGTCTGCCGGGACACTGAGGCTCATGAAGTATGCAGCCGACTTTGTGGATGAATCTACAGGCCACGGCCCTTGACTGGGTTCTTGTTAAGGGGTTTAATTTAAGTTACCATAATAAGGAAACCATATTATTTACTATAGATCCCTATTATGGTAACTTAAATTAAATCCCTTAACAAGAACCCAGTTGACTGTTGAAGGTTGTCCTGACACCAGCTGCATGGTCTTTGTGTTGTCGGCTTCCTGGACTGGGAGCGGGTTTAGGGTTTAGGGGTTCGGAGCGTTGCTGCATTGCAGGTCATGCAGTGGGCTATTGTGCCTCAGTCGCAAGAACCTGCTTCTCCCGGCTGTCGCAGCAGGGCCGATCTGTGTTCAAGCGTATGGTATGATCTTTCAAGATCTTTGAAGGCATTCAGAGAGAAGCTGAATGCCATGAGGTACCACGTCGCCAGTTCATGCGGCAGCCGAGAGCGGAGATGTGGCTAAGGTCTGCCTGCCGGAACTTAAGTAGCCTTCTGTGCAACTACGGTGCCTCTTGGCGTCATCTCCTCGCCCTCGCCTAGGTGCAGAAACTCCTCTCTCTGGGGTTCGCTGCTGAAGAAGCTTATTCTGAAACTGTTGGTGACTGGACTGCAGAGTTACTGGCACTGACAGCCAGGCATCCATACAATTGCAGGGTTAGTTGCGGGTACTGGGAGGCTGATGCCGAAGCTTCTTTCGAAGCTAATTGCTCGCATTCGGTTTTTTACATTGGGAAGGTCAGGAAGGGCTCACGCTTTCTCTGTCGCGGTAAACATCAAATAAAGGCGTCTGCCATGTATCTCACGCCCAAGTTAGATTGGATGGGTTCCCTTCACTACAGACTCCAGTTGAAGCACCCCGTGAGGATGTGAGCAGACGCAAGGCTGTAGTAAGGTGATGTAAGGTGCTTCTCTCGACAAAATCGGATTAAAGCCCGTCGTTTCGGTGTCACTTGACCCCGAGTCCTTTTTTAGCTGGTCGGCCTGTCAAGGATTC